CGAGGGTGTTCATATTATCAAGAAGAAAAACTTTTGTTGAGACAATTTTTTCCTCAGATAATCAATTAATTGGATAATTATCAATTAGCTAATTAGCAAAAATTAAAATTTTTTTATTGGCTCAAAATGATTGGAATAGCTTAAAACACGGAGAAAAGTAGTTTTTAGAAAAACTTCGAAAATTTTTCACTTACATTTTTTTTTCGAGACATGGAAAAAAAATTTCGAATTTTCGAAATTTTTTTTTCGCCAAAAGTTATCAAATTGCATGAAACGTGGAGAAAAATGCTATTAAAAAAACTTCGTGAATTTTTGTTTTCAAGAATACTAAAATCACTTATATTTGTAGTTGGAGTTCAGTAAATCTCGGCAGATTTTAGTAATCAGGAATTATTAAATCAAAATAGATAAAAGGACTGAAACTGAAAAACGTTAACCACAGGATATTAGAGTTTTATAATTAATTACAGTATATCCTTATTGATTTTTACAGAAACTGCACCAAAGGCACATTTAAGATCGAACCGATAGCCTGCTGTACTACGATAATATGTAATAAATAAAACATCTCTGAGTCTGTACCGTCAATCGTGCTAATCTGAACCAGCCTACCTGGATTACCATCTACCTCTTCTTTTCATCAATAATTAGACCGAGTTGTGCAAGAAATGTGATTTATCATAGCTCATATTGCATTTAGTGGGTGATGTAAGTACTTATCGAGCTGTATTCAATCACAATAGTAATATACGACACAATACCTTTGTATTAAATGGCCCTTAATGCGGTATAATATGAAACGCTTTATACCTCGATAGACCCGGTATAGTTTATCACGAAAACGTCTACTTGGCCTCATGGCTCATTTACAGCTCGAAGAAGGCAAGAAGAGACCATGGATACCAAGGAAGTGCTAGGAAGTAGGAAACAAGTGTAAATACACCTTCCAACATCTATTGTGACTTGTTTTCTATTGTTCTGCATACCACTTCATTCGCTATGCGAGATACCTCATACCTCAAATCACCCCCATATGTCAGGGTTGGCTAAATTCAAAAAGAGTAATATACGGGCAAAGGTAAGATCTAGATACGAGCGTCGGACATGGGCAAGAGCCGTGGGGTAGTAAAGAAACGGTAATGATTATGTTGGTTTGCAATCCGGATGTTGTGAAGTAAAAAGACAGGTTCTTGCCGCAGCTGCAGGATATTTGGGGGCCATGATGATAAGCTCTGGATCAATGTGGGACGGATCGAAGAACATTTAAATGAGCGAGTTGACATTTTAGGCTTTCTGATGTTTTCTTGCCTTCTTCGAGCTGTCAATGAGCCATGAGGACAAGTAGAAGTTTCATGATACAGTAAAACCTCTCTATACCGGCCTTTCGCGGGAGAAACGAGAAGTGTACGGTATAGTCTATAGATTTATAGAAACACCCCGATAAAGAGCGTTTCATATACCGCATTAACTATTAAGGGCCATATGATGTACACGTATTGTGTTTTATTGTGATAGTGTGATTGAAAACAGCTTGATATTATTTACATACCCATCAAATGCGATATGACCCATATTGCATTTGGTGGGTGATGTAATTATTATGAGCTATAATAAATCACATTTCTTGCACAACTCGGTCTAATTATTGATGAAAAGAAGAGGTAGATGGTAATCCAGGTAGGCTGGTTCAGATTAGCACGATTGACGGTACAGACTCAGAGATGTTTTATTTATTACATATTATCGTAGTACAGCAGGCTATCGGTTCGATCTTAAATGTGCCTTTGGTGCAGTTTCTGTAAAAATCAATAAGGATATACTGTAATTAATTATAAAACTCTAATATCCTGTGGTTAACGTTTTTCAGTTTCAGTCCTTTTATCTATTTTGATTTAATAATTCCTGATTACTAAAATCTGCCGAGATTTACTGAACTCCAACTACAAATATAAGTGATTTTAGTATTCTTGAAAACAAAAATTCACGAAGTTTTTTTAATAGCATTTTTCTCCACGTTTCATGCAATTTGATAACTTTTGGCGAAAAAAAAATTTCGAAAATTCGAAATTTTTTTTCCATGTCTCGAAAAAAAAATGTAAGTGAAAAATTTTCGAAGTTTTTCTAAAAACTACTTTTCTCCGTGTTTTAAGCTATTCCAATCATTTTGAGCCAATAAAAAAATTTTAATTTTTGCTAATTAGCTAATTGATAATTATCCAATTAATTGATTATCTGAGGAAAAAATTGTCTCAACAAAAGTTTTTCTTCTTGATAATATGAACACCCTCGTTTAATCTGCAACTTTCTACGATGTTCACAACTAAAGATATTTGACAAACAAGAAAGGTGGTAAAAAGTGGTAAAGTGGCAAAAAGTGGCCTTAAGACACGTGGAAAAGTTTGGAAAAGTTGGTCAGCCATAAAGGACACCTATTAGGACTCAAAAACGTCAAAAATCCTTTGTAAGCTTTGTGTGTCGGCAAATCGATTTTTTCAGACGGATTTCCCTGTACTAAATGGTAAAAACAGCAATTTTCAGTGATTTTACTAGTGTGCAACTTTTCGATTTTCAACTTTAAAACTAGCCTAATGCACAATTTATATCTATAGGAAGCAGAACTGAGCTATAAAACATCGATTTTGAGGGATAATAAAGTGTTTATAGGTTCTGATACCTAGCTAAATCGATTTTTCGTGCAATTTTAGGTTAGAAACGGTCATCAAAATGAGTTAATAAGAAGGTCGATTTCTCGGTTATTTTTGAGCTTTCGTTCAGAAATTTATTCGGGGCCCTCAAAGGGCGGGGGGTAACAAGAAGGCGTTACAAGCGTCTCTTCAGCCTCCTGAACATATGCTCGCCCTAAAATGTAACCAAGCAATTATCACCTCATCAGCCTCCTGAACATGTGCTCGCCCTAAAATGTAAACAAACAATTATCACCTCCCCGCCAGTATCCACATCCATTAAGCTCTTAATCTTATAATCTAAAACATTTTTATCAGATCACGTGCGAACTTAATATATGACACTAAGTGTTACATATTTATCACCGTATGAGGAGTTAGGACGTGTATCCTCAATTGGTGCGACTGGATTCGAACTATGTACTTAACAGCCAAAATACTGAAGCAAGCAATAACAGCTTAAGATAAGTACGTGGTGTGACGTCATGACACGTAGTGTGACGTCATGACACGTGGTGTGACGTCATGACACGTGGTGTGACGTCATGACACGTAGTGTGACGTCATGACACGTGGTGTGACGTCATGACACGTAGTGTGACGTCATGACACGTGGTGTGACGTCATGACACGTGGTGTGACGTCATGACACGTGGTGTGACGTCATGACACGTGGTGTGACGTCATGACACGTGGTGTGACGTCATGACACGTAGTGTGACGTCATGACACGTAGTGTGACGTCATGACACGTGGTGTGACGTCATGACACGTGGTGTGACGTCATGACACGTAGTGTGACGTCATGACACGTAGTGTGACGTCATGACACGTGGTGTGACGTCATGACACGTAGTGTGACGTCATGACACGTAGTGTGACGTCATGACACGTGGTGTGACGTCATGACACGTAGTGTGACGTCATGACACGTAGTGTGACGTCATGACACGTGGTGTGACGTCATGACACGTGGTGTGACGTCATGACACGTGGTGTGACGTCATGACACGTGGTGTGACGTCATGACACGTAGTGTGACGTCATGACACGTAGTGTGACGTCATGACACGTGGTGTGACGTCATGACACGTAGTGTGACGTCATGACACGTGGTGTGACGTCATGACACGTGGTGTGACGTCATGACACGTAGTGTGACGTCATGACACGTGGTGTGACGTCATGACACGTAGTGTGACGTCATGACACGTGGTGTGACGTCATGACACGTAGTGTGACGTCATGACACGTGGTGTGACGTCATGACACGTGGTGTGACGTCACAGCTTAAGATAGATAGAAAACCTGGATCTTGACAGGTGACTTGTTCGTTATCCAACCAGAATTCAGCAATACAGCCCTCGCAGTAATTGCTGATACATTCAGCGTTAGGGGAACTGGGACAACTTGCTGACTCACAAGGGTCACCGTTACAATCGTATGATTCTTCGCAATCGCCATCACTCTTGGATACAAAACCTATAAACATGTAATATACGTCACGTGGTGTGACTTCGTTGGATATGTCACGTGGTAGGACGTCATGTCACGTGGTGTGATTTCGTTGGATATGTCACGTGGTAGGACGTCATGTCACGTGGTGTGACGTCATGACACGTGGTGTGACGTCATGACACGTGGTGTGACGTCATGACACGTGGTGTGACGTCATGACACGTGGTGTGACGTCATGACACGTAGTGTGACGTCATGACACGTAGTGTGACGTCATGACACGTGGTGTGACGTCATGACACGTGGTGTGACGTCATGACACGTAGTGTGACGTCATGACACGTAGTGTGACGTCATGACACGTGGTGTGACGTCATGACACGTAGTGTGACGTCATGACACGTAGTGTGACGTCATGACACGTGGTGTGACGTCATGACACGTAGTGTGACGTCATGACACGTAGTGTGACGTCATGACACGTGGTGTGACGTCATGACACGTGGTGTGACGTCATGACACGTGGTGTGACGTCATGACACGTGGTGTGACGTCATGACACGTGGTGTGACGTCATGACACGTAGTGTGACGTCATGACACGTAGTGTGACGTCATGACACGTGGTGTGACGTCATGACACGTAGTGTGACGTCATGACACGTGGTGTGACGTCATGACACGTGGTGTGACGTCATGACACGTAGTGTGACGTCATGACACGTGGTGTGACGTCATGACACGTGGTGTGACGTCATGACACGTGGTGTGACGTCATGACACGTAGTGTGACGTCATGACACGTGGTGTGACGTCATGACACGTGGTGTGACGTCACAGCTTAAGATAGATAGAAAACCTGGATCTTGACAGGTGACTTGCTCGTTATCCAACCAGAATTCAGCAATACAGCCCTCGCAGTAATTGCTGATACATTCAGCGTTAGGGGAACTGGGACAACTTGCTGACTCACAAGGGTCACCGTTACAATCGTATGATTCTTCGCAATCGCCATCACTCTTGGATACAAAACCTATAAACATGTAATATACGTCACGTGGTGTGACTTCGTTGGATATGTCACGTGGTAGGACGTCATGTCACGTGGTGTGATTTCGTTGGATATGTCACTTGGTAGGACGTCATGTCACGTGGTGTGATGTGCCATGGTGTGGATGGTGTCATGGGATTTTATGTTGTATGGATGTGTCGTTTGAGTAGATGACTTAAGGTTTTTACTTAATTATTATTACAGTGCTTGAGTTTTGAAGGTAAAATGTTTATAGGTTTTTGCGGGAAATTTTGAAATAACTAAACTAGCTTTGATAAACTAGATACTATGAGTTAAATGTAACACTATTGAGCCTTTCACATTATTCTATTTCATTAATGCTTTGCAAGATTACACGATTTGAAGTCAAAGCCAGTTTACCTTATGCTGATTTTGGGTGGCAATTCACACTCACACACATTCTCACACACTCAATCTATCACAGCACACATGCCACAGGTCATACCGCAAGTGGGGACGCGGTGACGTCTCACATAAAACTCAGCGTTACAGCAACCATCATCAACACACACGGCCGAGGGGTGGGAAGGGCAAACTGCCGTAGCACACGCATAGTTTTTACACTTGCGGTGCTGGCAGTCGGACCTTTTTCTGGAGTAACGCACATCTATTACTTTTAGTACGCCTGATTTGGATTTGCTGATGTGTTATTTGTAATGCTGTTTTGAGATTGAGTTGAAGTGTGAATGAAGTTTGAAAGAAAGCAAATTTAACAGTTCAAAAGTTATAAAATTTGATTTATTGTGCACATTCTGGAAGCTGTCACATTTTCAACAAAAGTATGTGTTATATGTCAACAAAAGTAACTATACGTCAACAGAATAAAATAGCGTAACCTTTGAACATTTGCAGTTCTTTTTTAGAGGAGTCCACTATTGACAGGTCTGCTGAGCCAGTACATTGAAAGTAGAAAACACGCTTCAGACCTCCTCCAGAAGCAAATATTATCTGAAATAATTTGTTTAATGGTAATTTGAATTTCAATTTAAAACTAAAATATCATATAAACTAAATTATGTAGTTCGATAAAAATTAGGTAAAGTAAATTCTAACTGCTTATCTAAACATAATTATTTTAAGTGTAAATGTGTATGATTGATCAACAATTAATTCACAACAGTATCTAGGCTTACTTGTTGTGTTTCATAAGGCTTGATAGTTCCTTGATAAGGTACTCCCTGCTGAATGATATTTCCGTCTGATGTCAAGAAGATCACCAACCAGGTTATCAAGACCAAGCAACCACCCATTATCACGAAATACTTGAATTTTGGGGGAACATTTACTACAGAGTATGTGTTATTTTGTATACTACTACGATAGGGAGAGAGACCTACATTTAAAGAACTGATTGGCTACGTGCAGACCAGGGAAGGAGCCGGAATCGGATTCGGTGGAGATGATAAAGTCTCTGAAAGAAGAGGAGCTCCTCCAGACTCTGTACGATAAGAGAGTCCAAGGAAAGTTTCTAACCTGGGAGAACACCATGCAGCTAGACACTGGCTGGCAAAGCCTGCTGTATACCTTGAGCCCCGAGCTGACAAAGTTCCACCTAAATGCCATCCACGACGTTGCAAGTACACCTAGCAACCTCCAGCTTTGGAACTACAGCTCCACGAACAACTGTCCCCTTTGTGGGCGTCAGCAGTGCAACCTAAAGCACATTCTAACGTGTTGCCCAGTGTCACTTAAACAAGGAAGATACAATTGGATACATGATCAGGTGCTCAGGGTAATCGTGCAACCAATTGCAGAGAAGCTGAGGGAGATAAACAGTGCTACCCCAAAGAGAGAAGAAAAGAGAGAGTGGAGGAAGTTCGTATCCGGAAAAGGAACCTACAGGAAACCCGAAGTACGGCTTACAGAAGAACCTCATCTTCTAGAGGAGGGTAACGACTGGAAACTTGTGTTTGATAAGGACGAAAGGACAAGACAATTCCCCCAAAATATCGTCAACACAGCTCTCAGACCTGACGTGGTAATATACTCTAACACACTCAGGAAAGTCATCCTGATAGAGCTGACCTGTGGAAACGAGGAGAACATTGAGGACCAGAGATCCCGGAAAGAGAAGAGATACGAAGAACTAATGGTGTAGATCGAGACCGCAGGCTGGGAAGGATATCTCTTTACAGTAGAAGGTGGATGTCGTGGATTCTACCACCACACATTACCCCGAATTTTCAACTTCCTTAACATCACCCGGGCAAAGAAGAAGAGGGCACTTAACACAACAGCGGTGGTGTCCCTGAAAGGTTCCTACACTATCTGGCTTAGTCGCTACAACAAGACCTGGAGTGACAACTGGCAGCTGGCCGAAAGACCCTGCCCAGTTTAACCCTGATGAACAGCTGAACGTTGGGCCCTTAAAACGTCGTTGAAAGCAACATCCTGGGGTCGTAAGTCCCAGACATCAGAAGAAGTCAGAGTGTAGAAGATTCTGCGTCTGAAAAGACTAGAGAATTGAGGTAAATATAGTTGGTTTGGTCTCCCATACTATGACTTGTCATAAAACAAACCAATTGTTTAAAATTAGATGAAATTGTGAATAATCTGACTGCCATCAAAAGTGCACAATGAATAATTGTTAAATTGTGCTCCATAAATCTACAACTAGTAGTGGCGTTAAGAAAAGCCCTGCTGACCCTGCGTGAAAGAGGTGCAAAATCATCATTTGAATGTGGGACAATTTTGAAAAACTCAACTTAAGTACTTGCAAAATGGTGAGTTTTGCTTTAGACATTTTATCAGCGAATATTTTCAAAAAAACTAAGGATACTTGGAATGCTAAAAACCACCGAGGCAAAGTACAACTTGTGAAAAGTTCAAAATGAGAAACTAAAGTCATGTATTGTATAAAACATTCGACTTTTCCAGACCATAATCATGAAAGATGAACTCATCGAACATTTTCGAACAGTCGCGAAGAACTTGTAGGAAGATTGGAATTCTTGGCGTGATCATTGATACTAAGCTAAATTGGGCCCACCACATTAGACATTTAGCCACTAAAGTATCTAGAAATGCGGGTATTCTCTACAAACTCAAAGGCTCAGTACCTAACAAAGCACTCAAGTTGATATACAACAGCTTTGTTCAGTCTCACTTGTACTACTGCTGCACAGTTTGGGGAACAAGATCGCTAAACTCCGTTAAAAGAGTCTTCTCGGCCCAGAAAAAGGGCATTCGCGCTGCAGATAACCAATACCACCGCTATTTTTATGACAAAGATCTGAATAGCACACCTTCACACACAAAGGAAATTTTCAATAAACTAGAAGTATTAGCTTTACCGAACGTGATAGCTAAATGTATATTATGCTTAATGCACAAAGTTTATTCTAACACTGCACCACCAAATATTATAAGAATGTTCACTGTTTCAAACTTAAACGCACCTAGAAGAGAACCTGAGTTCTTTGCAGTACCATTTAACCGTTTATGTAATTCAGACAAGAGCATTTCTTACATTGGGCCTAAGTTATATAACCAAACAGTCAACATTATTAACAAGGACATAAAATATGTCACCACTTGCCTACAAGACAAATTCCTAAATTCATTCAAGTCTACAGTCAACAAGCATGTGCTTACTGCACAAGCACATAAACCGGATGACAAGGACTGGGACAACTCAAATTTCGTACTTTTAGAAATTTAAATAATTTGGTACAACATACGTTGATCATAATAACGAGCAACAAAACTTTAACCTCATAACAAAATATGACTATACAGGGTGAGAATCCCTGCCACGTTTTTGGTCAGCTTCGCCGGGGCTCATGTCTTTCCTCGAGGGAGCATTAGTGTCTACAGAAAAACTGACAAATCCTAGCGAAGTCCAATCCGAACCACATCTTCCATCAGAGGTGGTGCTGGGTCAGATGGTTACTGAACGGATTGGCCTGGAGAAAGGCAAAGTCCTGTTTTCTCAAGTTAACCATAGAGGGGGTCAGGCGCTGTTCAATGAAACGAAAAGTTTTCAATGAAACGAAAAGTTTTATTTTACATTCCTTTAATCATAAATAAAATAAGAGCTTAAACCACGAATTAGTTAGCTAGAAGTAAACTTGAGGAAATATTTTTGGTGATTGTATATAATTATTTAAAAAACTTTATTTGGTTGTTAGTATTTTTATTATGGTAAGTGGTTGAATTTAGTGAGACAAGGTCAGTTTCTCTATTATCTTAGAAAAATTTCTACTTTACAGTAGGCAATGCTGAGTGGCAGGAATGAGGGACCAAAACGCTTGGGGCTTACAATGGCCCATTTACAAACCACTTCAGACATGGCAGTGATGTCATTTATGCTTAATTCGTCTGAAACTGACCCTACTGCACTTCTAACATTCTATAAAAATCTCTTCTAAAATAGGTATAAAAATGCATAACACAAAACACACAAATAAAATGTTTATAATCCTTATATAATAAATTTCTATAGAACTTTTAAATTTCTATAAAACTAATAAACCTATTATATATATATTCATTTTGCACCCAGAGAAAGATGTGATCACAGAGGTAGTTTCGATATTATGTTCATGACAAGGTATGGGGCTGCTGCAAGTTATATTTTGCTAAGATATTACCGCTTTTTCAAGCTTAAGTAATCTAGGCTCGCTCACGGCTGGTTCTTGGAGCCAACACCCTCAGCCCCACAGAAGTGGGAGCACTGTCAGTGGTGGCTCACCCAGATAACGGACAGTGTCTCTCTAGTCTCATTTCCAGGCGTTCCCACCCCACTCACTCACTCACTCACATGCCGCCCCCCGGGCCGCTCCAGCTAGTGGATATCTAGCAATTAGTTATTTTCCAGCTAGTGGATATCTAGCACTTACTCCTTTTCCAGCTAGTGGATAATTAGCACCCAGAAAAACTCCGGTAAACGGAAGTAACACAAACATACAAACAAAGAAAAGTCACACGCAGCCCAAAATTTCAAATTAAACAAAAAAAGGGTCTTCACAAAACAAAAATTTGCTTGGTAGCTTTGTATTGTCAACATTATACCGCGCGCGTCGCAAAGACGCGCGTAAATAAAAGAAATCATAGATTTGGGCAAGAGATACTAGATGCTCAGGTATGCCTGGTAGGTTCCTGTCTACTCACTAGAAAGACAGGGGGCAGCCTGTTCTAAAAGAGCGCCCGGGAGATCACCTAGGCATGGGTGGTGCTCTCCCGAGACCGAGCATTATGACAGTTTTCCTTCGGGAAAACGTCGCTCACCAGGCTTTATCCTCCGGAGGGTAAGGAGCACTAGCCCATGCCAAGTGCCCGTACCCTGTGACACCTACAACCGGAGGGACCCCAATAGACGTTAGTCACCAGACGGACGTAGCCTTCCGAAAGGAAGGTAAAGTGGGTGCCCCAACCCAAAAAAAAAAAAAAAAAAAATATGACTATCTTCGAGCATTTTTTACAATGCTATCGAAACCGCGCAATTTCACTGTCATTTACAACTTTTAAAAGATAAAAATATCACCGCGCATTCTTCAGACCCTGTGTCGCTGTTCTAAATTTATGTCAAGAGATAAGAGTTATTTAAAATTCTTAATAGTACTATTTAAATTTGCTAATAGCATAATCATATTTTATACATTATTAATACTTTATACATTGTGTGCATATATTTATATTTGATTGTAATTAAAGATTTTAAGGCGTTAGTGCCGAGTAATGCCTTCGGGTAGTGCTCCTCAATCAATCAAGTGAAACAAATTTTAGTGAAACAAATTTAAAATTTTATCCTTTATTTTACAATCATAATATAATAATATTTATAAGCCTCCGTTTTGAAAGTTTTTAAATTTTAATATATTCACATTTCTATTTAAAATTCAATTTAATGTATAAGTCAATAACTGGCCGCCAAAGCCGCGCATTCTTAAAAACATGATTAAATTGTTTATGATTATACGACAAATAGAAATAAATTTAAAATTATCCGTGGTTTTTTTTTTTAAATAAATTATAATCTTACCTAAATCCAAAGCCAGCTTTGTAAAATTTACTTTTAGATAGTTTTAATACTTTCAACACTACTATATAACAAATAATTTGAGTAGTTCTGTGTGCGCGTTGAATTATCTCGCTGGCTTTGTAGATTTGTATACATTGTTTGTACATTTTCTGTACAACGTGTACGATGCCTCTTCCGCTACAGAATGAACATATGGATATATTAGATGATGATATGGTCGTGAATGGCCAGTTTCTTACGGAATATGTGAATCAGATACACATGGCGACTGAAAGTATTTTCAAGGAGATTAGAAGTAAAATCGGAGTTGAACACAACGATGATGTGCGGTTTGATAAACTGAACCAGAGAAGTGTGCCTAGAGAAAGGTTATCAGAATGGTTAGAGACAGTTTGCTGTTTGCTGAACGATTTTTGTGGTCCATTGTTACGATCCGCCACAGAAACAGCTAACGACAACAGAATGTTCAGGAAAGAAAAAATAGAAGATGCGACTAAAATCATAGAACTACAAGAGAAGTTGCTCTCTAAGCAAGAAGAAGATATGGCTAAAATCAGTGATTTGCAGGAGAAGTTAGCTTTGAAGAAGGATGATGAGATTGGAACTGTGAAAAGTGCAGCTCAGAAAGAGATCAAAACCTTTTCGTCTCTTTTGAAAAACACATGCAAAAACGCCTTTGCACCAAAGAAGATCCAAGCTGCGGTGAAAAGAATTTCCCTAGAAGAAGATCGAAGTAAAAGTCTGATTATCTTTGGGCTTCCAGAGACTGAGGAGAACCTGGATGCTAAGGTATCTGGTATTTTGTTGGACCATCTCAACGAAAAACCGAAAATTTTGAGATGTAAACGAGTTGGAAAGGACACAAGTGAACGAGTCAGACCAGTGAAATTCATTTTGTCAAGCTCAGATCAAGCTCGAACCATCTTGAGCAAGACTAAGCTACTAAGACATGTAGACGGGTTTAGTTCAGTTTACATTACTCCAGATAGATCAGCTGCAGACAGGATGGCCTACAAGAAAGTTGTCGACCAACTACTCAATAAAAGGACAGCAGAGCCTGACAAAGTTCATGTTATCAGGAACTTTAGAGTCATTAGCTCGGAGAAGGAGCCTTTAGAGTGATATATTTTCTATAAGTACAATATTATATGTTTTAATTCATTAGTGAAACAAATTTTTTAGTGAAACAAATTTAAAATTTTATCCTTTATTTTACAATCATAATATAATAATATTTATAAGCCTCCGTTTTGAAAGTTTTAAATTTTAATATATTCACATTTCTATTTAAAATTCAATTTAATGTATAAGTCAATAACTGGCTGCCAAAGCCGCGCTTTCTTAAAAACATGATTAAATTGTTTATGATTATACGACAAATAGAAATACATTTAAAATTATCCGTGGTTTTTTTTTTTTTTAAATAAATTATAATCTTACCTAAATCCAAAGCCAGCTTTGTAAAATTTACTTTTAGATCAAAATATATCGTCAATTCTAAATATTTACAATGCAACATTTCATTAATTTACATACAAGCGTATACTCCAGCCCCTGCACGCATCCGTTCTTATGCGGCGCGGCTCAAGCCGCGCACGCACGTATTATTTTATACTTTTTGCTTTCTAATAAATATCGTGTCAATGTGTACGTCTAAATGTTCATGCTTTGTGTAAACCGAATCCAATTGAGATTAGTGACAAGGATAAGGACCCAAGTGCCTGTACGGCTTTTTCGGACCCCTGTGGACCACTACTCTTGAAGTCGCTCTACAACTATTGAACATTTATAACTGTTATATAATATATAACGACATTTGACAATTATTATCATTAATCTATAATCTAGCTGTCTTGCTGAGGGGAGGAGTAAACGCTTCACAAACTAAAGTGCTTACAACATACAAAATTTAAAACCATCAACACGGTTATAGTTCATATCAAGGGCCAATTTGGTATACCTCTATTTCGTTGTAATATCTAGTATATCTTCACATCTTAATACTATAATGAAATACAATAGGATACATGTTTCGAGAAAGAAAGGTTAGTCCGATTATTAACAAAAGTAAACAAAAGTCCATCAGGGACTCCACGGAGTCGAAAAAGGTACACGGCTGCTGTCTGGTGCTGCTAGGCATTTATTGATCAAGATGTTTTATTGTATTGGTTTTTGATGATTCTATTGTTCGTGACTAATCAAGTTCTAAGTGGGGGTATAAAGTGCTGCTTAAGATACTTCGTCATCTCATGTCCAGTATAATGAATAAGATAGTAAACAATATAGTTTCAGTAGTTGACCCATACAGTTAAGTCCGTCATAACTCACAATTGTTTAGTCATCTGTCAAATGTCAAAGTCGTTGTGTGTTTAGTCGCTGAGTTAGCAGTAAGATAAGTTGTTACGCATTGATTAATTAATTTTTTGCTAGGGCCCAATGTTATTGCGGGTGTGGTATTTCTTACTGCACACTACTGTGTTTTGGTCACCCCTCTTTCAATACATAATTTGGGTTTCATACTGGGATAGTGGATATTAGGGCTATATCGGTTTTCTCCTTTTATAACTGGGTTTATTTAGAAGCATTCAATTCTGTATAATTATGTATTGTTTGAAAAGATTTAGATTAAAAAAAATCAAAATATATCGTCAATTCTAAATATTTACAATGCAACATTTCATTAATTTACATACAAGCGTACTCCAGCCCCTGCACGCATCCGTTCTTATGCGGCGCGGCTCAAGCCGCGCACGCACGTATTATTTTATACTTTTTGCTTTCTAATAAATATCGTGTCAATGTGTACGTCTAAATGTTCATTCTTTGTGTAAACCGAATCCAATTGAGATTAGTGACAAGGATAAGGACCCAAGTGCCTGTACGGCTTTTTCGGACCCCTGTGGACCACTACTCTTGAAGTCGCTCTACAACTATTGAACATTTATAACTGTTATATAATATATAACGACATTTGACAATTATTATCATTAATCTATAATCTAGCTGTCTTGCTGAGGGGGAGGAGTAAACGCTTCAAAAACTAAAGTGCTTACAACATACAAAATTTAAAACCATCAACACGGTTATAGTTCATATCAAGGGCCAATTTGGTATACCTCTATTTCGTTGTAATATCTAGTATATCTTCACATCTTAATACTATAATGAAATACAATAGGATACATGTTTCGAGAAAGAAAGGTTGGTCCGATTATTAACAAAAGTAAACAAAAGTCCATCAGGGACTCCACGGAGTCGAAAAAGGTACACGGCTGCTGTCTGGTGCTGCTAGGCATTTATTGATCAAGATGTTTTATTGTATTGGTTTTTGATGATTCTATTGTTCGTGACTAATCAAGTTCTAAGTGGGGGTATAAAGTGCTGCTTAAGATACTTCGTCATCTCATGTCCAGTATAATGAATAAGATAGTAAACAATATAGTTTCAGTAGTTGACCCATACAGTTAAGTCCGTCATAACTCACAATTGTTTAGTCATCTGTCAATTGTCAAAGTCGTTGTGTGTTTAGTCGCTGAGTTAGCAGTAAGATAAGTTGTTACGCGCGCGCGCGTTTAATCCCGTCGACAATCAATTTAAACTTATAAGTTCAACATTGCTAGCTATAGCACGACAACAATAAGAGTCAAAAGACTGAGTTACAGCATCAATATTAGTGATTTCGGTAAATATTTCGCATGTATTCGTCTCAGGATCAATTTATATCCGGATATGAAAATCGTTGGAACTTGGATGTCAAATTTGGTCAAGAAACGACATTATAATACAAACTTACAGCTAACGCGTTGAAACCTGGAACAGCTCAGTAATAATAATACTTTCATAAGGCCACAAATAACACATTTTCAATAGCGCTCGATTTCAACATGTGAAAAAATTTCCGCGGCGCGCCTAAATTTTAATATTATCTTTTAATTTTTATTCAGAAATATATCTGATATCAATAAAATGAAACAACTTCAAACTAAATTGTGAATGTATGCTCAAAAAATTCATTTATTTTGATGTCCCCAGTCACAAACAATTTAAATTTTACAAAAAATCATATATACAAGTTTCATATATATATATTTTGTTGCTTTATAGCGCTATGCACTACTGGGTCGCGCGCGCATCAAATAATGCTTCTCGTATGCAGATCGGCAAGATGTGAAGGATTGACATCGTGAATCAATTCGTTGCTGTACTCCTACACATTCGGTGTTGATTAGATCTTCGAAATTCTTCGCATCATTTATTAAACATCGTTATCTCAAATTATTTGTTATATAGTAGTGTTGAAAGTATTAATATATATATATATATATATAATATACGCCACATAACACATGGCTATGATAATTGACCATTGTTAATGATCTGGCCCGGCGCGCGCTACTTCGTAGCACTTGCCATCGGGCAATTTCGAGAAGAAAGCGGCGCGCGCTACTTCGAAGAAATTTAGACGAGTAACATCTGTCAAATGTTTGATTCGCTTTGAAAATCTTCAGCTTCGCTCGTGCTACGAAATTGCAGTACGCCGTATATTCAGTATTTACCTAACCATGTGCTTTCGCGCCACTGCGGACGCTTTTGTTTCAATTTCACAAGTAAAGAAGGAGGCGCAAGGGCTCTGGATTTGTCATACGTTGTATGACCCGCCGAGCACGAGTGCGCGGCTCCCCCTGTATCGTAGAAACTGTACTTTATAGTGAAATGACGATGGGGGTCACGACGTGATACAACTCTGAATAGAGCAACGCCGTATATTGTATACTAGGAACGTTACGAGCTTGATATGAAAGGGTTGGCATTATATACGATCTATAAAATACGAACATTAAGCATTTAATGGATGATGTTCACCAGTATGTTTTATAGTTTAATTCATAATTCACCCTGCGCAATAAAATGTTTTCATTGACCAAGCTCATAGTGAAGCCGAAAACTGTCGACGCGATTAGTTCAACTTAGCACGTGTTTCATATTATTATCAGGTTTTAAAATTATAATATTTAATTTTATTTTAGTCTTTATGCTTTAAGCTTGCAGGATAGTTATTGAATGCAAAATAAATACCATAATCTATTGAAGCATTATAAGATGGCTTATAAAAACTTAATGTTTCAGTTACGTGGCTTAGTGTACGTTTTTGCATATAACGGGTTTTTAAATATTTTACGTTGACTTGCCAAAAGCAAAAGCAATTTAATTGCTGTCCAGTAATTTCTAAATGTAAATTTTGAATTGCAAAATGTCCAATTTTAAAGTATTTATCGAGCAAAACAAATTTTGTTGTTTTACTGTATATTCATTACTTATTTCATACATTTGCAATTTGCTTCACAAATTTTGCTTCGCAGCGAGCGCGACGCGCATCTATATTTTCAAGTGACACACAAACTTCTCATAAATCTATCAATTATTGGCGCTAGCGTGATTTCGGCACTGGATAAAATCCAAAGAGCGCGTAACATGAAATTCCTCACCTGAACTTCGGCGATCCAGCATTCTTGTGCCGTGGTGCAGTTGAGTAGTGCTTATGTTCAATTGATATACAAGTGATATACAATTCCATTGATTGTGTATGCTTACATTGTTACCAGGAAGTTACCCCATTTACTGTTCCTCCTGGGTTATTTTGCAAGTTTACTGATTAGAAGGTCCATCATGGATAAGGTACCTACTAATTGGCCAATCACTCTTCGTGAAATGGAAAATAAGACCAATTAATTGCAGGGTATCTACCATTATCTGAATGCAGTTGCATCAATCTACAACCACATCCTCCGCATTTGGTGCTCTTGATTTTGGCATGGGTCGATTATACCAGTTCGTATGTTAAGATGCGTAGATACTTCTTTTGGGGCATAAAATGTTAGTGGTTAGTACTTATAATACTCTTTAGACATGACACATATATTTTTTGGTTTTATAGTTCGGCCTCAACAGCCAACTGTGATCATTCTGATTATCCATAATCGCATCTGCATCGGCCGATCTTAGAATGAATCCTGAAATAGCGCGTGGCGATCCGTGAACAGAAAATGGCGGCAAAATGGGCCACGCGAGTGTAATCCTGCACTAGCGTTACCTAAGGAATTTAATTCGAGGACCTCTGATCTTCAAGGAATATCACATGCTATGGATCTTTAAACTTCACGGGCTTTCCTTTTCTAGCCGGTCACACCTTTTCCCTTTGAATTTCGTTGTTGCATCTGTTTTGCAATTGATTCATATTTAGTTGGTTTGTACTAACTACAATTTTGACTGTGAACTAGTCATGTGCTGATTGCCTAATCCTCTAATCAATTGATTTCATTCAGCATGTTATAGCGAATCAAAGCGGAACTCAAGATGAGCAACGCTCGAAGTTCTACTTTCAGTAAGTCCACTTTCTTTTTAGGATTATTGTATTAAACAAACAATACAAATTACAGATAGATGATATTTAATTAAGAGGGAGATAAAATGAATTAAATCATACCGTCGAGAAAGCCCCGAAACAATCATATTGCTCGGTGTGTCGCTATAGAAATGTTCAGAAATTCCAAAGATACCATCAAACATCATCTGATTAAGTAGGACGGATCCAATAAAAGGTTATCTCATGATGTTAAAGTATACCAAAACATTGTATTAATTACTCAAACCATAACACACTGTCTATAATTCCCTCATCAAATCCAGTCACTCCGCACAAGGACTTGATTTCTAACAAATTTAGCTAGATGACAAATTAAACCAGATTTGATAGTATTATTATATCATTAAGCCGTGTCTTAAACGTTACGATCTTCAGACTTTATCTCACTCACTTAAAACCTACACCTAGTTGATTTAGTATACAGTAGTCTATTACAGAATCCAGTTACATCCACATCTAACAGCAAGCTGCAACGTCAGCTCTCCTGTAATTAACCGTGTCTCAATACGTGTACTATTACTCTCCTATAAAAGTGTTAATACATACAGGGAATACACTTTGTGCTTTATGGTTTGTCGATAAAGTATGGTTTTGTTGTAAGTTTTATAAGATAGTTGACAGTGTCGTGATATTCATGATTCCTTCCTCTTCACTCAACAGGCCTGCTGGTGAGTGGTGTCCCTTGTTAGATTTATAAATGTTACTTTTTAATTGGGCGGAATTTTAAAGTATAGTTTCATCAAGATTGAATCTAATGTATGTGGTCACTGATTTTGGGTGGATGCATATTCGAGCCCTTGCAAGTTCACTCACCACACTTTTAACTTCACTGTGGGAGAATATGACACTTCAAACCAAAGCAGTTAACCAGTTACTATGGGCGTTAACGGTGTACTGTACAGCTCCTACACTTCCCATTGGTGCAATGACATCACGTGACAAGTCGTCCCGGCGACTGATTGGTTGCTTGGTTACAAAAGCTTCCTGGAGATATTATCATGATGGTATCCTGATCAGTGTTAATTATCGGTCCTAAAAGAAATGTCACGTGATGTCTACAATATTTGCTCCTTCATAAAACACATCATTGCTGGTTCTCTGAATTCCACTGGTAACATTTAACCTGTCTCTCGGAACGTTACTTGGTTCAAATAACAAACGGGTCTCAAACGATTCTCCTGAGTGTTTAAACGATTTTTGATTGATAGGTTGAAACAAGAGAAAAATGCTATCAGCTTTATGAATTGCTAGTATTTATCTTTAATGTGGTTTGGCTTCCAATAATTAATCAAACCTTACATACCTTAAAGGTAATTAAAATCTAAAGAACAATTTTGTTCACAACCACAGTCCTCCCAACCGTTATAAATCTAGAAGAAACTAGCCTTTCACCATACCTCTAATAACACTAATCCTCACACATTGACCACCCAAAAACTCAATCACTCGCCCTAACATGCTTGCTCAATTAACCACATTTGTCGTTAAGTAAAGTCCCGGGACCCTTAAGCTTCCTCCGCCGGCCCTCTGAAAACCGCTGTGTTGGAGCTCATTGTTAATAAGTCTGGAATACCCTTTTAAGGACACACTCGTTAAGTATATTCATTGAAATTTAAGTAATTTCAAGTCTGGAGGTCAACATATTTATTACTGTACTGGTAGCCCCAACTGATTGTAATGTTATAAATACAAATTTAAGTCTGTAAAAACGATATTTTGATGATGCACGATGTCTCAACGTGCCCTATTCATCAAAAAATTCTCACGTGTCACACAAAAAACTCGCTCTCAAAAATAGAGTGTCTGCAAATGGAGCATGCTAGAGTTTTTGTATTAGAAGCATTGCTTGTACAACTCCCCTTCGCGGTCTCTCGCTCTCCTCCCATCAATAATACTTTATAGAATTACTTGACAGGCAGAATCTGCTTCTCATGTATATCCATTCACTGCACACAATTGCCAGTACACTTTCCGATGCTGCCGTCTGATTGGTTGGTTGCGGGTCACGTGGAGCTTTCCTGCTCTCTGATTGGCGGAGCTCTCAAAATGCTGTTTGAATAGCTCGGGAAACAAGCACAATGTACATTGTCACGAGATTCAGATTAGAAGAGATTTATATCCGAAGAGGCCTCATTTTTTGTGTCGCAACTTTCTGACGTGTTGCTATTTATTGACGAGTTTTTGTGTCAAGTGTGGACGTTTTGTCGGAATCTGATTGGTTTGAGTCAGCTATGACCTCTACTACGGTTGCCACAACTAATTCAAGTAAGATATTATCATTACTCTGTGATAAAAGCAAATTGTACCCTGTTAAAAGCGTTAATTAGATACAAATTTCGTTTGACGCAGAATTTTAGACTGATGCTCTTAGTAACAAAATAGCCTTCATAAAATTTGATCCGAAGAACTCAAGGCTTTTAGAGAGACTAAATCACCCTATTTCTTGTAATTACCACGTGTCATGACGTCACACACCACGTGTCATGACGTCACACACCACGTGTTATGACATTTGCTCAAGGCATTTAAAAGTCTATCAAAGAGACTAAATCACCCTATTTCTTGTAATTACACGGCCTAATTGGAGATATTAATGCAAGGGCGGCAATTAACACGAAAGATCATTCCACCCCTTCAAGAAACTTCACTCTCATTTCACCACCAAATAGTCCCTTCCACATTTATTTTCCTACGTTTGAAACCCAATTTACGGTCCCAAAACCGGGTCCCCGTTTAGTCCACCAATTAGTCCCCGAAATCCCCCTTGTCGGCTCCGTGTTAAATAGAGGAGCCCACTGTTTTGTTCACCAAATACGGAATAAACACGAGCTACCCAGCTAACATCACACAACCCCTTATAAACCATCTC